TTTTTACAATTATATGCATTTACCGGTATTTACAATTAAAGGTTATTTTACAGTGGCTTTCTACTTAAAAATATGGAAAATAATATATCTTTTCGAAACATTCCAGAATTAAAGCGAAATATATCGATACTCACCGCTGCACGAGCATGTCGATAACAGCATTAACGCAACTGAAAATCCTGTGAAACGAACAGATCGAATTCCAGGGGCAAAAGGCATCCCGGTCCTTTTCATTCAGTCCGTTCGCATTTTAATAGGTCAATGTGTTCATAAACTTAACCGTGAAGCTTCAGTTTCAGATTGAGCTGATGTCTACATTATACCTGTCAGAGATGTTTCTTCATCAGCACACTTTCACTGACTGACCCATACACACTTTCACTCGCACAGAAAATGCGCTCGAAAGCGAAAGTAATTCCACAGCCACCGCATTCATAACTACATGACACCCAGTAGGTTACAGTAACTCACACTTAAGTTTCCACATCCACCCAGTGGACGATCACTCACATTAAACTGAGCTGCATCGGGATTTTGTGTGTGTAGTGAACTACTACTACCAGGGGCGGACTTACCCATTAGGCAAAGGTAGGCGACCGCCTTGGGCCCCCAAAAGCCTTGGGCCCCCTAAAATGCTTTTCATATAGGATATGCGCATTAAGCGCGGACACGCGAACGTTTGCAGTTTACGGTGTTTATTACCACGACAACCGTCCGAGTCTGTGGCGCCTGCAGGTGTAGGGCTGTACGCACTGTGAGTACCATGAGCGCTCAGACTCATCTGAGATTTGCCCCGCAAACATTTCGACTGAACCCATACCGTTAATTATGAATTTATCAGTCTTTTCAGCATAGAAATATTACGTCAATATCTGCATAGAAATATGACGCCAAATAGAAGGAGAAAATCGTGCTATACTCACTTTCATGAGATCGGCTTAGCCTACAACAATTAATTTGTTGGCTATTTTACAAATGGGAATACAACGAATTCATGACAATGTTTACATTCCAGCTACCCGTAAAATGTATAGT